TCCCAGCACTTTGGGAGGCCCAGGCAGGATGATCACCTGTGGTCAGGAGTTTGAGGACCAGCCTGGCCAACATGGTGAAATCCAATCGCTACTAAAAATACAAAAATTAGCTAGGCATGGTGGCACATGCCTGTAATTCCAGCTACTCAGGAGGCTGAGGCAGGAGAATTGTTTGAACCCGGGAGGCGGAGGTTGCAGTGAGCCAAGATCACACCACTGCACTACAGCCTGGGGACAGAGCAAGACTCTGTCTAAAAAATAAAGAGACGAATATGAAGATTATATAGTATCCCTTAGATATCTATGATATAGTATGAAGAAAAACAGACATACAATTTGATCCCTGATTAAAACCATCTAATCATGGTATGTGTCGATAATTAGTGGGGATACTGAATACTGACATGAAATAATAAAAATCGCTTATGTTTTAGAAATCGTTGTCTGTAGGCTGGGCATGGTGGCTCACGTCTGTATTCCCAGCACTTTGGGAGGCCAAGGTGGGTGGATCACCTGAGGTCAGGAGTTTGAGATCAGCCTGGCCAGTGTGGTGAAACCCCATCTCTACTAAAATTACAAAAATTAGCTGGGCGTGGAGGCGGGTGCCTATAATCCCAGCTACTTGGGAGGCTGAGGCAGGAGAATCGCTTGAGCCCGGAAGGTGGAGGTTGCAGTGAGCCGAGATCTGCTACTGTACTCCAGCCTGGGCGACAGAACGATCTAAAAAAAAAAAAAAAAAAAAAAGGAAAAGAAAAGGAAAAAAAGAAAGAGTTGTCTGCATTGCTGTTTCCAATTCCTCCCCTCTGTTTTATTTTAGACTCACTCTAGTCAGGCATTTGCCTCCAGTCCTTGTCCAAAGCTGCCCTCCAAAGTCAGGGTCACCCAGGTTGCTACATCTATTGGTGTATCCTTGGTCCTCTTTGTATTTGCCCTGTCAGAAGCATTCGACACTTGGCAATTCTCTTCTTGATACGTTTCCTTCACATGGCTTCCAATACACTCGGTTTCTCTCCCTCCTTTCTGATCACTCTTTCTCAGAATCAGTGCTGCTTTTCCTCTTCTTACCACCCTCTGTTGTCTGGAGACCCATGGCTTATTCCTTGGTCCTCTCCTCTGCTTCATTCCCAACCAACTTAATGTCTTTACATACTAGCTATATGCCAGCAACTCTCAAATACTTATCTTCAGCCCAGATCTCTCTCTCCTAAAGTCCAGATTCGTATATCAAACTGTCAAGCCACATGTCCTCTCAGATAGGTAACCAGGCATCTAAGTCTCAGCCTGTGCAAATGAACTCCTGCTCTTCCTTGCTAAGTCTACTCCCCCTGCAGTTCTCTCCACTTGGTTGACAGCAACTCCATCCTTCTAGTTGCTCAGCTCCAGAAGTTATTCTTTCCTTTTTCTCTCACACTTTGCATGCAATCTATCAGGAAATCCTGCTGTCTTTACCTAGAAAATGCATCCAGCACCTGACCAATCTTCATCCTGACCACTGCTACAGCCCTGGTCTAGGGTGCCTGGACTGTGGCATCTGTTGCTCACAAGTGCCTCCGCCCTTGCCCTAGTAAGGTGTATTCTCAGCATGGCAGTCAGATTGGCCCTTTTAAGGCATAAGTCAGATCATGCTACTCATCTGTTTAAAACTCTCCAATGGCTCACTCCCATCTCACACAGAGCAAGAGCTAGGCCTCTGGGGCAGACCACTAACCGACCTCTACTCTGCTGCACTCTGTCCTGATGTCCTTCTCCCCTCTCCTCACTCATTATGCTACGTGTACACTTGCCTCTTTGCTATCCCTTGACCAAGCTATATATGTGATCACACTCTGGAGTCCTTGTTCTATCTATGCTTTCTATTTGAAATGCTCTCTCACCTCATTCAAGTCTTAGCTCAAATCTCATTTTCTCAACAAGATCTTCTTCCCTGAAGACCATATTTAATGGTACTCTTGGTCATCATTACCACTGCCCTTTCTTCACCACCCCCAAACACACCTCAGCCCCACTACTTTGCTCCTTTTCTGTGTACTGAACATTCTCTAACATACTACATAAGCTACTTATTTATTTTTTGTCTCTCCTGCCAAAATGAAATTTCTGTAAGAGCAAGGATCTTTGCCATTTTGTACTCTCATGTATCACAAGCTCCTAGAACAGTTGGCCAATAAACATTTGCTAAATGAACGAATGTTCGATGGTGAATGTATGAGCAAACTGTTGTTTGATTATATTGTGCCTATACCTTTTTTTTTTTTTTGAAGAGTCTTGCTCTGTTGCCCAAGCTGGAGTGCAGTGGCGGGATCTTGGCTCACTGCAAGTTCCACCTCCCACGTTCACGCCATTCTGCCTCAGCCTCCTGAGCAGCTGGGACTACAGGTGCCCGCCAACACACCCGGCTAAATTTTTGCTTTTTTTTTTTTTTTGAGACGGAGTCTCGCCCTGTCGCCCAGGCTGGAGTGCAGTGGTGCGATCTCTGCTCACTGCAAGCTCCGCTGCCTCCCGGGTTCATGCCATTTTCCTGCCTCAGCCTCCCGAGAAGCTGGGACTACAGGTGCCCGCCACCATGCCCGGCTAATTTTTTTTTGTATTTTTAGTAGAGACAGGGTTTCACCGTGTTTGCCAGGATGGTCTCGATCTCCTGACCTCATGATCCACCCGCCTCGGCCTCCCAAAGTGCTGGGATTATAGGCGTGAGCCACCACACCCAGCCAATTTTTTGTATTTTTAATAGAGACAGGGTTTTACCGTGTTAGCCAGAATGGTCTTGATCTCCTGACCTTGTGATCCACCCACCTCGGCCTCCCAAAGTGTTGGGATTATGGGTGTGAGCCACTGCGCCTGGCCCTTTTTTTTTTTTTTTTTAAAGAGACAAGGCCTTGCTATGTTGCCCAGACTAGCCTTGAACCCCTGGGTTCAAATGATCCTCCTGCCTCAGCCTCCCAAGTACCTGGGACTACAGACACATGTAACCGTGCCCAATATCATGTCTATAACTCAAGAGAATTTCAGTCCATGAACAATGCACACACAGAACTGGTCCAAGCGCATGGCTCTGAATGCCTGGGCCTTGGTGCTTGTATTCCTACTATATTGGTATCAATGGCTCCATCTACTGAGGTGGTCCCCCACATCCAACCAGACCACCTCAAATCAAGAGGAAACCAGTAGCCTGACGGCTTATGAAACCACCAGATAGAATTCTTCCTGCTATGGCCCCATTTAATCACCCCCATATACCCCATTTCTGCCTTCATTCCCTCAAGAATAAACTCTGCCACGGCCTGCTACTACTTTCTTCCATTTCTCCAATAGCTCCCAGAAGCACCTTGAAATTCCACTCCCGCCATGAGATTTTAATGAGGGGGATGCACTCAGCAATTAGAAACAGGAAAAGACTGATTAGGGCTCCTGCACATCAGTGTTTAACCCAGCATCCCATGCAGCCCTCCAAGCGTTAACCTCATTCCCCATACACACTCAATTAGGCATATTTACTTCTCATTATCCAGGACGCAATCACGAGTGCTAATAAAAACCTTTGCTACCCCCAACAATGCAATTAATGCCATTAGCTGTCTCTCAGAAGCTCTTCTACACTTTGGTGCCAACAACAGTCCACTCATTTACCCATTTATTCATGCATTCATGCACGTATGCCCTTTTCTATTTAGCACAGGTTAAGTTCACACCTACTACGTGTCTTACCAGGCAAAGGCCTGGGACTAGAAAGATGAATTAGACACAGTCTCTGCTCTAGGAGACCTGCAACAACAGGCAAATGATTATAATACAGGGTGATGAAGGGCACAAGAGAGGTGTGGCCAGGGTGCTACTGAAACCCAGAAGAGGAAGTAGATGGAGAAGTACAACTTCATTCTCCAGGACCAGTTCAAATCCCAGCCCTGCCACATTTTAACTGTGAGTCTTAAGTAGTCAATTAACTCTAAATCCCATTTATGGCATGGGGATGATCATCTCACCATCCCACCAGGAATTGGGAGGATTAAAAGAGATAATGCCTATCAAGTGCTCAGCACAGGACATGGCACAGACGGTGTGCTCAGTAAACAGAGGCTATTAGGATTTGATGCCCTAGCCTCAGCCTTCAGACTTTGCCAGGCACATCCCATTTCATTCCATTTTCTTCTTGCCTGAGAGGATTAAGGGGATGCTACAGTTCAGAAGGCTGAGAGCGAGGCAGAAAAATCCCTTTCTTTTGTACACATGGACAAGTGGGACAGCAAATTTCAGAGAACAGTCCTGGCCAACAGGGTGCTCAATGGATGAGGCCCAAACACATATAAAGTCTCCCCTGCTGGAGGACTGCTCCCTGGGTTTCTCCACCTGTCAGACAACCTGCTTCTTTTCTCCAGTCATCCCTCCATCACAGTCTGAGACAGAGGTACTAGGAATCTTTGTAATGGATCAGGATACTCGGATCACAGATATGAAGTGAGCATGGGCTGACTGGTATGACGGGCCAGACAGACACACACACACGCTGTCTCTCTCTTGCCAATCTACTATGGACATATATGCATACGTGCTGTGGGGGGCCTGCTAGGGCTCTGGCTGCTCTAAGATGGTCTGGCAATGACAATGACATATCTTTCTTTTAGGGGGAAAAAAAGTATGCCCATAAATTTATATATGTAAATATATATGTGCATATGTACACATACACATACACACACATGATTAGAAAATTTCTGGAATGATATACAAGAAACTGTTCGCAATGGCTGCTCCCATAAAATTGGGGAGATGGATTGTGAGAGGAGTTTTAGATTCTATTAAAAACCCTTCTAAACTGTTATTTTTACACGAGCATACATTATCTATCTATATCTACATCGACGTTTCTATCTACATCTATATAAAACAAAATACAATCTGGCTCCAAGAGTCTGCAAGTGGTTCTTCCAGACTTGGAGGGAGGGTGGGCTTGGAGGTAGAGGGATGAAGAGGGCACAGGGAAGGGAGGACCGTCAGGAACTTACTGGTGTTGTGGTCTATGAAGTAATCTCCAACCTGTGGGTCATATGCCTCTTCCCATCCTAGCGGCAACTCATCACTAATGCAGTCAGCAAAGGTGAGCGGTTTGGTGTACCTGGCAAGGGAGAGGAGAAACAGACTCCATCAGCCTACAATCCCCAAACGCCTACAACTTGCTGCTTCTCTGGGCCTCTTGCTTTTCTGGGCTGGCTCAACAGATCCAGAAGTTTTGCACTGCTGCAGCACCAGCTCTGTTGTCCTCTTTGTTCCCGGGAAGGTGAACGCATAGCTGCAGCGGCAGGATAAGATCACCCTGTAGGGGAGGCAGGGAATCTGTGTTCTGGTCCCAACTTTGCCACTCCTTTGGAAGTGACTGGAGCAAGTCACCTTCCTTCTTTGGGCCTTTGTTTCTGCATCTCTGATTGAGGGTTTGCAGGAAAAGGGTCTAAGGTCAAGTCTTGTTTCTTGACTTGGACTCCAGCGCCCCTTGGCTCTTCCACCTGCAACTTACTCAGCCACCCCACCTCCAATCCTTATCCTGGCTCTGTCTCACGCCTGTCATGCTCACTTGCCCTTTGGAAGGCTGGCTTGCCGCAACATCAAGAATAGCAGATGTTCCATCCCTGTGAATTTGGCCAATGAGCAATATTTATTTTCCTCTTGAGCTGATTCCCAAATGCTTGCACCCACAACGGCGCTTCCCTAGACAATCCAGGCCAAACTGATCTTTTAGCACTAACTGCTTTCTATGTCCCCATCTTGTGGGGAGTGAAATGGTAGTAATCACCAAGTCTCAGTGGCTAAATCAAATAAACAAATCACTCAACTAAACTAACAAAGGCTTGTCAGTGCTGGAAAACTATCACAAATGATTTGTCAAGTATTTAAACCAGAGTATGGGAAGCTGGGAATCTGGGTATATGAGATTCAGCCTGGGTGGCTCCTCCAGACAGTCACTTTGGTTTCTTCCCATTGCTGCCTCTGCCTAAAATACATATTCTACAACCTCCTTCTCCTGTCTGCTTCCTACCCGATCCCAATTCTGGAAGCCCAGAAGGCTCTGCTTCAGATTCTTTCTTTAGATTGGCAAAGTGAAGTACAATGGGACAGGACGGGAGATGACTGGGCTGGGGTCTAGGTATTTCTCATCAAGGGCTTCCTTCCAAGCAAGAGACTTGCTAGATATGTCCCCTCCCAACAGCTCCCCTGCTGCTGCATATGGATCATCACCTTTTAAATTCCTCCCTGTGGATTAATTAAATGATTTTAATCAATGGTGCAACCAAGCTACAGAATCCTGTGTCCAGCACAACTGGTGCTCAATACATATTTGTGCAATGGGGCCCAGCACAGTGATTCATGCCTACAATCCCAGCACTTTGGGAGGCTGAGGTGGGTGGATCACTTGACATCAAGAGTTTGAGACCAGCCTGGTCAATGTGGTGAAACTCTGTTTCTAGTAAAAATGCAAAAATCAGCTGGGCGTGGTGGTTGGTGCCTGTAATCCCAGCTACTCAGGAAGCTGAGGCAGAAGAACCTGGGAAGTGGAGGATGCAGTGAGCCAAGATCGATCGCACTATTGCACTCCATCCTGGGTGACAGTGCAAAACTCTGTGTACAAAATAAGATAAAAAAAAAAAAAAAAAAAACAGCGCAGTGGATGAATAATGTAATGAATACATAGGAAAAACCAAAAAAAGATGAGGCTTACACTCTCCTGCCCTCTAAAACCCACTCCAAATCCAACTTAAAGAAAAATACATGAAGAAAGGAATGCTGAAAGAGCCCTAGCTGGACAGGACCTGGTGTGTTCATGTACCACTACACACCCAGGGTCTGGCAGGCTATGAAAAATATCTTTTGGTTGAATGAATGAATACCCAGAAGCTTCTGGCCGGGCACGGTGGCTCAAGCCTGTAATCCCAGCACTTTGGGAGGCCGAGATGGGCGGATCACGAGGTCAGGAGATCGAGACCATCCTGGCTAACACGGTGAAACCCCGTCTCTACTAAAATACAAAAAAAAAAATTAGCCGGGCGAGGTGGCGGGCGCCTGTACTCCCAGCTACTCGGGAGGCTGAGGCAGGAGAATGGCGTGAACTCGGGAGGCGGGGCTTGCAGTGAGCTGAGATCCGGCCACTGCACTCCAGCCTGGGCAACAGAGCCAGACTCTGTCTCAAAAAAAAAAAAAAAAAAAAGAATACCCAGAAGCTTCTGATAGTAATTTACTGCTGCACTGTGGAAGGCTGCTGGTTTCATGAGGATGAGGCCAGAGGTATGTGATGTGCAACACACTATGTGCTAAATTAGCCAGGTATGGTGTGCGCACCTGTAGTCCCGGCTACTCGGGAGGCTGAGGTGGAAGAATCGCTTGAGCCCAGGAGTTGGAGGCTGCAGTTAGCTGTGATGGCACCACTGCACTACAAGCTGGGCAACAGAGCAAGACCCTGCCTCTAAAACACAACCACCACCACCACCACCACCACCAACAGCAATAAAACAAATAAGGGTTTAGTAGGCATCACTTACTGGCTGTGTGAATTAGGCAACTTACTTTACTTCTCTGAGCCTCAGTATTCTTATCTGTATAACGAGGACAGTACTAACTCTCCGGTTGTTGGGTGGGTTAAATAAGGCCTGTTTGTGAGTACTTTTAGCACAGGTGCCTGTGTGAATGGGCACTCAAAAATCATTAGTTATCCTTACCTCCATTACCAGAAGGAGAAACTGAGGCAAAGAAAGACTAAATAACATTCTCAATGTCAAAGACAAAGCTGGGATTTCAAGCAAGATGGCTGGTCTCTAGGGTCCCTGCAGGGAGCTACCAGATTCTCTTGAAAGTTGACACCTTCAATGCATCTCCTAAGCCCCATGGGAAAACACAAGCCACCGTTTTGGAGTAGAAGGAGGGAAAATGGGCTCGACACAGGTGATGGGGACTTTCCTTAGCTTAGGATGCACTTGGTTCAGGAGCACCTGCTCCAGATGACCTGGATGAAGTTTCCCCAAAGCCATCTCCAGGCCACCCGCCACCGCCCCCCACGCCCTGCCAGATGTCAGAAACAAAAGGCCACTTCCCTCAGTGTCTTGCTCAAAGTTCTTTAAGTGGTTTGTTCCCTCTTCCTTATGGAGAATGAAGACCAGCGACCAAGAGCAAAGCCTCATCTAACATCACCTCATCTAACAAAGCCTTGAAAGGGGCTCTGAGGGAAAGCTCCACACACAGGTATGCTTTCCATGGGGAGTGACTCCATTGCTGATGACAGGTCCATCTGTGGGGAAACAGGTGTGGTCAGGCCACCAGCCAGATCATTCTTTCTGGCTCATTCCTCTACCTGCACTGTGCCCAGAGAAGTCCCACCTACCAGCAGAGGTATGAATCTTATATAGACAGTTTGCAACCCAGAAAACCATGAACATACATCCCCTTCCCAACAGCTCCCCTGTTTCTGCATATGGATCATCACTTTTCAAAATTTCTCCTTGGAGATTAAGTGATTTTCATCAGTGGTGCATCTAAACTACAGAATACTGTGTCTGTTACAATTGGTGCTCAATAAATATTTGTGCATCGGTGAATAAAGTAATTACTACGTAGGAACAATCAAAAAATGAAGTGTTCTGGCCAGGTGTAGTGGCTCATGCCTGTAATCCCAGCTACTTGGGAGGCTGAGGCAGGAGAATTGCTTGAACCTGGGAGGTAGAGGTTGCGGTGAGCCGAGATCATGCCACTGCACTCCAGCCTGGGTAACAAGAACAAAATTCCGTCTCAAAAAAAAAAAGATGAAGTGTTCTTTATTTTGCTAACATGAAAGATGCTCTCAATATACTCTGAGAAAAACAACACTGTTGAAAGATAAAAGCTACAGGATAGTGTTACAGTATGACATTTTGCCTGAAGAGTGTATGTATGTGTGTCAGTAAAGAAACTGGAAAGAGATACATTAAAATGCTATCTGAATACAGGGATTTCAGTGTAATTTTCTTTCTTTTCTTTCTTGCTTTTTTTTTTTTTTTAAACTAATGTATTTGCTGTTTTCATATATTAATCATAACTAACATGTTGACTAATGGCTAACTCTAGGCCTAGAAAGCAAGCTGTGTATGTGACATTCCCTTTCCAGGCAGCAAGTCCTCTTACTGTTTTGCAAATAAGAAAACATGCTTGACATCATACAGTTAGTAAACACCAGAGGTATAACCTGAAGTTCCACTGCCAGATTCCAAAACTCGAGCTCTGCTAATAAAAATTAACAAGATGAAGTGAGTCTCAGAACAATCTGGAACACAGAGCAAGCTCTGCTAGAGGTACAGACGGTGAAACGAGACCAGAGGGACACCTGAAGCAGGCAAAAGGCATGGGGGCTTTAGCATATTTGGGACCTTCAGTTATCTATGTGTTGGTGCAAGGATATTCAAAAGACCTGAGAAATCCATGGCAGCTTAATAAAAAGGCAATTAAGTGTTTCAAAGTCAGCTGGATGCAGTGGCTCACTCCTATAATCCCAGCATTTGGGAGGCTGAGGCAGGTGGATCACCTGAGGTCAGGAGTTCAAGACCAGCCTGGCAAACATGGTCAAACTCCGTCTCTACTAAAAATACAAAAATTAGCCGGGCATGGTGGCAGGCACTTGTAATCCCAGCTACTCAGGAGGCTGAGCCAGGAGAATCACTTGAACCCGGGAGGCGGAGGCTGCAGTGAACTGATATCATGCCAGTGCACTCCAGAGCGATATTCCATCTCAAAAAAAAAAAGGAAAAAAAAGTGTTTCAAAGTCATTAATACAAATGATTTACTGAGCTTGCCGGGTGTGAGGATGGAGATGGGGTTAGGAGGATGGGACTGAAACACTGAAAATGTGTCACTATCTGGAAAACCATTAACTCCACTGATTGTTCCAGCCTTACACATTGAGAAGTCAGAGCTAAATACATTTGTTAGCTCCAAGCATCAGTAATGTGACAGACATGTGGATAGCCTACCAGGGCACAATGCTGACTCCACCTGCAGTGAGCCTAGACACTGTGCCCAAGAGCAATAAAGCAGAGGGAGGCAAGAGGACCCAAAGCTAGGAGAGGGCAAAGGAAAGAGAAACACTTTGGGTTTGATATTCTC